GCAGAATCAGAAAATACAGGTTTTATTTCTGCATTTACTGCTGACTCATGGTGCCACTGAATTTCGTCATGTTGCCTCTGTAGGCAACTTTATTTGATGAAGAGCAGGTGATCTTACAAAGGCTATGGAGAGAGAGGTCTACATAGAAAGACTGTTCATGTTGACATTTCACAAGGAAACGCAGCTGGGCCTAAATGAAGATCCGAGATACAAACCATCAGAAGTTTAAAGCCTACACCGAACTTCACAGCTCAAAACGAATTTGTACTAAGCAAAACAGCCTCCAGTCTCTTATACCTCTGCTCCCTGCCGCTCACATATATTAGGGTAAACACTACTGCAGTATCACAACAACATGCATCTGCAACAATATGGAATGAGGAAAAAAGAAAAACAAAGGAAGTGGAAGGAGAAGAACAAGAAGAAAAGTGTTTCAGTGTGTCTCACTGAAGGTTGCTAAGAGTCTTCAGTAATGGACAAGGAGTAAAGTCTTGTGATAGCATGAAAGTCTGGAAAAAGATCCCTAGCTTCAGCTTAGTTATTGATTTCTTACATGGCTCAGCAAGTGATTTTACATCTTTACTTCTCTACTTACTCCTACCTATAAAAGCAGATGTAATAATCTCTGTAATGGTTGGTAAATGATAATCACCTTATCAGAAGCAATTCCTTATTATATATGACTGTAAGTTACAAAGTACAGTTAGTTCAACTTACTTATTTACAGTTACTTCACTATATTCCCTAGTTGTTCATGGTGTCATCAGGAAATAAAGCCCTACTACGTGCAATTCAAAGTCACAGAGTGATTATACTAAATACCATGAAGTAATGAGGAGACAGATACAGAAGAGTAGGGAAGCAAGCAGTCTGGTTAGCAACCTCACAGCAAGCTTATAGATCTGCAAATATGTTTTTGGCTGGCACAGAGCACTTCCTAAGTGAAAAGGAGGCTTTTGGTCTCTATTCCTTAGTTTCTTCATTCTAGTCACAAAATAAGGCTGGAAAGGAGTTCATCTGGAAAATGTGCTTCTCACATGCTCCACTAGCTTGCTCTTGAGAACAAAGCTTTCTGTTCACAGTACTTATAATCAGCTCTCAATTCAGTTAGCTGTATTCTACTCTCTATTAGCCAAGACACAGATCATACAAATCATAAACAAATTAGGCTATAAGCACAGGCTATATTTATTCACCTTTGAGGAACAGCATTACAGCACAGATGAGACTTACAAGTCTCTGTGAGATAGGACCAGATTCCCTTCTACCTTTTGTATCTATGCAAAAATAATCATGACATTTAATGCTTCTTTTTTATCTCACAGCTAAATGAGGACACTTGTTACAGGTGGTAAAACTCCAGTAACAAGTTCCAAGCCAAATTCATACAAGAAAGTTTTTTTTCTAACATGTACGTGTAAATATAACAAATACCTACAACTGAAGACTGAATGTTCACTATTTTGCCTAAAGCTACTTCCTTCATGAGTTATAGGAGAGTTTGGAGTGTTACCTGCAGGCACTGTATAAAAATATTCTCCAGCAAATGCATATGACTTCATATCGAGTTAAGAAGCCTTTTCCTTCATGCCTCTTTCTGTCCACTTATTCCCTGCATCCCCATGACACAGTCCTGTCCTCTTTTTTTCAGTCTTAGCCTACACTATAAGATCTTTTTCTCCAGTTAGGATTTGAGAGCAGGGAGAAGGGGCATATGTGAAAGCATACTAAGAGAGCACTTTGCATTGCAAACGTTCCCTTATCCCGTAATACAGCCACAGCAGTATAAACTTTCAGATGCTGCCAGCTATCCACCTCCAGACAGATTTTCTGCCCACTTGATTTTGTCCTTCAGCATTCACAAACTTACCAAACATCTATCTTCTTCCTTCTCTGCCCTCAAAGGTTTACCAGCTATTGATAACACCGCCTTCTACAAAAACTAGCAAATTCAGCTTTCAGAAGAATGATCTAGTAGAACAAATAGCAGCTGTTTATATGGGTACTACTTCTATATACACTGTATACTTCTATATACACCTATATGAATATAGGTGTGTGCATATATATCTTTTTATATACGCACAAGCACATATAGGAACATGTATACACACACACATTGCATGAATATTTATCTGTGATGCAATCTCTTTTTGTTCAATAAATGCAATGTGAAACAGAGGGAATCGCTCCTTTAACTCTTACATATTTTTGAGACAAGGGACAAATGAA